TCTCCAGTAATAATTTCCTGAATGTGCAGTCTACAAGGTGTGATCAAAACATACGGTGAATGTTTAAATTAATAAAAAAAAAATTTACAGTAAAAGACACAATACCATTAATCCCCCTCAAAGTACTCCCTCTCACTTAAAACACATTTATCCCATCATTCTTGCCACTTTCTGAAGCATTTCTAGAAGTCCTCTTTTGCGAGTGTCTTTAGTTGCGCTGTCATAGCTGCCTCAATGTCCTGAATCATTCTGACTTTGGGGAAGAGCCAGAAGTCACACGGTGCCAGATCCAGTGAATAAGGTAGATGAGGACACACCGTAATGTTTTTATTTGACAGAAATTGCCATACCATACATGTGTGGCATGGAGCCTTTCTGTTGTGATCACAAAATACAGTGAATGCTGCCAAGTGCCATCCAACTGAAAGGCAGGGATCTTCAATACGGGAGCGGCGCAGCAAACCTTAGTAACAGTGTATGACAAGTTTCAATTTGTTCGGTGCAATCAGTCGGGTGTAAGTAGTGGTTGAAAGAAGGTATGTTTTAAAGTGTGCATTAATCATCCTTCATCATGACAACACTCCATGTCACACACCGCTTCTGATATATGGCAATTTCTGTCAAAAACATTACGGTGTGTCCTCATCCGCCTTATTCACCGGATGTGGCACTGTGCGACTTCTGGCTCTTCCCCAAAGTCAAAATGATTCAGGATATCGAGGCAGCCACGACAGCACAACTAAAAACACTCAGGAAAGAGGACTTCCAGAACTGCTTCAGAAAGTGGCAAGAATGGGATAAGCCTGTTTGAAGCAAGGAGGAGTATTTTGAGGGGGATGAATGGCAATGTGTCTTCTGTAATAATTTTCTTTTTATTGAAACATTCACCGTATTGTTTGATCACACCTCATATATCAAGTGTTTCCATTTATTTCCTAATATCTACTCACTTTCTTTAAAACTAACAGTACTTGAATGCTCACAACATGTCACTGTCCTAGTTTCATCATTTAATAGCTAAATGATTTTTTGAAGATTCTTAGCCCACTTTCCTATCTATGTATGAGGGCAATAACCTACCAGTAGTTGTGACAATTAAGTTACATAATTTATGTAACATGCTTAGCACAGTGCTTTGTACATTGCCTTCCTAAGTAAATTTTGGCTTTTATCTCTTTTAAGATCATATATATTTAAAAGCTGGAATTTGAAACCAGGTAGTATTACTCTAGAGCCCTTGATCGTATCTGCCATTTTACATAGCTCTATGTAAAATCTAGTTGGAGAGTCTTTCTTCTCCCTTCCAGATTTTTATTCAGAAAGTATATTTTTAAACACTGTCAAGAACCACAACTAATGATCATATCTCAGATTTCATTCTCCAGCTCTCTACTTGACATTTTGTCATTTTGTATGTTTTCTTCTCAGTATATTCTCCAAATAGCTCCCACCCTTTTTGATTCTACTCTCTTATTATTCTTCCTAAGTCTTAGATTCTGGTCATTTGCTTTTTATGTTCTCCCTTTCAAGTTCTTCTATCACTAGTGATGATTCCCAAATCTGGGTATGTATTCCTTCTCTCTCAGCAGTTACTATTCCCAGACTTCAAACTATCTACACTCTGCCTACCTGTCTTCACGAAGCCCTTTCATGTATTTACCCTACTCAATAACATTCAGCTATTAAGTATATACTTATGCAGGACCTGTAATATCCTATCCTAGATGCTGAAGATAAGACATTGTCTGTTTTTAAAGAGCTTGTTTTAGTAAGAGAAACACAGACAGAAAAACAACAATGCAATGTCACAAATGCTATAACAAAAGTGTTAATCTTCTACAGATCTATGTACTACAAAATTAGCATTTAATAAGTGTATTGTTTCATAGCCTTAACTTTCTTACTATAATGTACGTTTTTAGACAGCAAATCTTTGATCAACATTAGAACATGATTGCCACAAATTATTCTTGATTACTTAGCAAGCTGATGGAGTAAAAAGAAAAGCATTCCTCAAGAATCTTACCTAAGACAACGCATGTTGTGTTTCACATATATA